AAATAAGTCCAGTTTTGCCATCTATGGCTCTTTTTTAATGAACAAATAAGCAGTGACTCGGTAGTTCGGAATACTAAATGACAAGATTGATACTAAAGTCAGGAAAGTTGTATAGAAATACCAACCTTCGCAACATTGTCCATCTGTCATAGCAGAAAGTTGCCTTAACTATTTCACTTTTTAACGAGCATCAAATGACCTTTTCGACCGAAATGAGTCAAACAACGGAAGATTTGCCTAACTACGGAGAAGTTGCCAGCCACGTTGGAAGCAATCTCCATCCCGGTTAAATCAGGCTATGCTTAGGCTGCTACGTTTTCGAGTGAGGATCCCATTTAATCCATTATTTTGCATTTCGCCTCGAATGTTTTCAATGGCATAATGGCGAAATCAGGCATGGAAAACTTGTTTAGATAAGACATGGTAACTCTTTCTGAATCAAACTGAAGGCAAATCATTGTGGTGAACTATAGACGATTCTGTGTAAACATGCTTCTGATAATGTATGGTCCAGGTTTAGAACTGCCTTAATATTTTGGCGTTTACCTAAAGTTATACCAACAAGTAATCCGCTGTTAGGTTTACCAAACTTTGCCACATTCTTTTGTCTGTTACGTGACTGCTCATGTGTCCGAGTTAGAACAAAATACTATAATTTTATTGGAGCCTTTGACCGAATCTCATGCCAGAACATTAAAAAAATATAGCTATCTAAGCTGTCCTACGTTTCTTAGTAAATCTTGACTGTTACATGAGAAAAGCAGCTGTGATACTGATCCTTGCGGGACTAACTTGTAGCACATTCGATTTATATCTGAGCTACCCTCGGAGGATTTGAGAGAAGCCCTCAATTGTGCATGAAGGAAAACTGGTGCTCGAAAGACCTCTCGGTATGTCGTCAATGAGGAGCAGAGTTCCATTTCTTTTGAAATTACAAGAGGAAAAGATACACCGATGAATAATACCAGAAGACAATGGCGGTTTGCCCTTGGTTTGCCCCTTTTCATCATCTCTTTAGGACTACTATGAATACGCAAGTTCTTTTCTTTATAGCACAAAAATTAAGTTAAAACCAATTTTCGTATATAAGTAGAATTATGAGACTACCATTAAATCAATTATATGAGATGTATTCACTAAATTTCATTTGAGGTCAAGTCCTTCATCCCCTTAAACGAAAAATATCAACTAAGTAATTAAATGATTCTTTAGTATTTATTAATATTTCTCAATTGGGTAAATGACTTATTTACCTTTAGTACTATTTATTTGCGTCAGATGGGTTATAATACTAAGTAAGTAAATGGTCTATATGTTACATGATATTTATTAATAAATAAAAGTAGTTATTGATTAGTTCTTAATACTTAGTAATTTAATGAATTGCCTATTTATCATTTATTAATATTTAGTAAATGACATATCTATTATTTACGAATATATATTAATCGAAGGTATGAAGATCAAGATGGTGTGGTCTTTAGTATGGTCGCGGTATCCTTTCGTTTTACAGAAGTTGTTAGACCGTATTTTCGCAACTGGGTCATATTTTCAGGATGACCTGGAGGAACGCACATTTTCCAGAGTCCACAGTATGCATGATACTTTCCAATCAGGTCGTGGACTTGGTGCATTCCCTGAAGATGTTGACTACGATGTCGGCGTTCTTCTAGGTCGTCCTGACCATATGACCAAGTTTCGAAAACAAGGTCAAGCAACTTCAATATTTATTTATTTAATGATTCATTTGGCTTCTACTAATTTATATTCATTATCAAATAATATTTATTATTTGCATGAATTATTTGCACTCGAGAAATACGTATATTTACGTATTATTTAATTATATTTATTTAGGCATTTAATGATTTGTTTAGTAATTATGCATGATTCTATTAATAAGTGATCGGGAATGACGGTATACTATATGAGTGGTTTTCATGAAGAAACGAAGATACGTTTGTGTGATTTGAGTACTTGATGTGTCCATCCTTCGTTCTTCCTTAAATCCGGTTGCTAGGAGCACGAGGAGCTGAAAAGGACACATCTGCTTTTGCCATCGCACCGGCTGCTCAGTCAGGCGAATTGCATCCTTGAGATGCTGTCTCGAATGTCCAGTCAGGGCGGTACAGGCGTCGGACAGTCGAATCGAGTGCCTGCTTTGCCGTCGACCCCCGCGACGGCCAGCTCTCCCGCGGGGCAGTTGGCAACCGACAGCTTTTCCACGTCGACCGGGTTTGGCGTCAGCAGTGG